TATATATATATATATATATATATATATATATATATATATATATATATCACTGTTCACTTCTTGGGGCTTCACTTTATCGCAGGTTTTTAAACCCAAATTTTAAATTGTGTGAGCTGTACATGCTGTGCAGTACTGCACATTCGTCTCATCATCATTGTCTTCATTGTTATCAGTGGAGTGTGGGAAGGGTTTATAAAGCCTTAAATATATATAAATAATAAAATAAATATAACGCTGCTACTTAGCAGGTTTTCACCAATTGTGGGGGTCTCTGGAATGTAACACAAGCAAAAGGTGAGGGATCACTGTTTCAGCATTAGTGAGTAGTGTAATCAATTATTTTCAAAAGGCTTTTAAGGAAAAATACTATGTCTCAGCAAATTACATGTAATTCTCTTTTGAATTTTCCAGCTATGCCACAAAAATACAAAATGAGCTCTTACACAATGTTTAAATCTTAAACATGCACAAAATAATGTTGGATCGATTTACCACAAGTCCATGTTTTTGTTCTGTTGCCCTATTTGTAGGTCAATCAGTCTATAAACACCTGTGCATGTCCATGGTTGATACGAGAGGCAGATCTCAGAGGTTTTTTTTTTTACAAGTAATCTGTCATTCGTGTTTAACTACGGTCTGTCTTGTTCAAGCTGGCCTCCAGTTGAACAGATATGGTTCCTTTGGAGTTAACAGATCTATGTCAAGTTTCCTCTGTTCCTTTAGATTGTCAACTGTCCTGTAGCCGAGCAGTTCCATGGCCTCTTTGCAAACTTCTTGAACACGCTTGACCTTGTAGAATGGCAGCCTGGTGCGCCATGCCTGAGAAACAAGAGAAGCATTTCTAGAAGTGATCTGGAAAGCCTGTTTCTTGGTGCCTTTCCCCATTCCATGAGTCTTTTTATAGATCCATTCCCCCATCCCACTAGTCATCTCTAAACCTACAAACTCATACAGTTCGTTGATTTCCTTTAGTGGGTTGCGTGTCAGATCTTCATAACGTATCATTTTGTAGCGGCCTTTTAAAAACGGAGGAGGTTTTAAGACTGCCCTCTCATTGATGCGTATGTGGCTATGGCAAATTTTCTGCAGGACTTTATACTGGACCATATATAAAGGTGTTTCCTTTTGCTCCAAGACAATAGAGCTATCTAACACAAATGCTTTGCGTGATGCTTCTCTAGAATTCATCACAGCCCGAGGGTCTCGGACCAAATGAATAATTCTGAGGTCCAGGCTGGGGTCTTGCAACAGGGGGTAAAGAGATTCCAGCTCAAAAAATCGCACTTCCTTTAATACCACATGACTGTATATGTTGCAGGCCTTCTCAGCTTTGAGCAAGCCTTGAGCATCACATTTGTCTTGACACAGAGTCGTGTTGGTCACTGTGAGAGAACAGGCTGGAGGTGCACAAAGTGCCCGACTGTCAGTCCATGCAAACAAGGTGGACACATTATAGTTTTCTGGCAGATAGGAGTCCATTACTGAGAAATCACACTTGAATAGACTCCGCATTAAATCCCTAACAGCCATTCGAAGGAGCTTTGCACTAGGTTTCTCCACGTTGGACCACACATGCCAGGCGGGCTCCATTAGATAGAAAACAGACGAGTGCTGACTGAAAACCTGACCCAGGAAGGATGAACCTGATCGCCACGATGAGAGCAGCAAGACATGAACTTTGCCTTGAGGAGGAGATTCAGAGACACTGAGGTGAATGAACCAGCTGTGGAAGAGCACCACTGCTGTCCCCTGCAAGAACACCAGAAAAATCATAGTCTTGAAGGTAACTCTGTAGTAGCGTCCCATGTCTATGGGTCACTGTCAGCTTCTAGTGTGGGACAGTATCAGCCGATTTTTGTCTTTTGTTGATCAGAGGTCTCTTCTGCAAAAAAGAAAACAGACATAAGATAAATGAGATTTTGACTCAAGACCAGTATGCATAATTCCTCAATCAAAGATCTTATATATAAATCATCTATCAGCTCTGGCTAAACAAAGTGTTCCTGTTTCTTTTATTATTTGTGGCTATGGGGATGTCAAAGTTTGTATTGCCACTTTTTTGGCACTGCCACTTGGCACCCTGTAATATTATCCTATTTAAAAGTTTTAGAAACCAGGAATAGGAGCTTAATGCCAAAATAAATTATTTTTGCACATGATGTCATGACCTGTGGTTTTGTGGTTGGTTTGTTTTTTGTTTTTGTCATTGGTTTCTTCCCTGTGGTATTCTCAGTTGCATTTCTTGCTAGTTAGTCCTTTACCTTATTTCTCACCTGTCCCTTGTTTGCCATTCAGACCAGCTGCATCCACTTGTTCCTCATCTCTCCCAGTACTCCTGAATTCTTGGTTCTCACCTAGTCGTCCGTCCGTTATACTGTTTTTTCTCCTGCTTGGTCCATGTGGGCTACTCGTTTTTTTAGTTCTCTTTGAAATTTTGTTTGCTTTCTTGTCAGCCATTTACTTTTTACTAATAAATTCTTAGATTGCTCTCTAGCCAGCATGTTTCTGTCTGCATTCTTGGGTCCTTCCAAAACCATTTTAACACGTGCACTAGGTCCTACAAGGATAAACTACAAAAGAGTATCACCATATATAAATTCTTATTTTCTAAAGAAAGCTCTTGCACAAATATATAAATGCACAAACCAATTAGGCAAGCCACCACCCGACTAATTCATCATTTTGCAATTACACCAAGAAACCAACCAATCACCCAGCAAGTCCAACCAACCCACAAAGGCACAAACCAACCAACCGCGCCCATCAACCACTTGATCTATAAACCAACCAAACAACCGACAAACATGTTCATGATGGCCACCATAGTTTATCGATTTAATTAACTGTGTTGGAGACGATGCTCAGCTACTACCACACCAAATTTTTAGCTCACTATCTGTAAAATTGACTGAGTTACAGTCACTTTTGTGTTTTCTAAGTTCAGGTGTCTGTAGCAGCCATTACGAGTTAGGGTGTGTGCAAATTTATTCCATTGTGGATACCAGCCCAATGATGACTTTCTGAAACCTTCAGTACCATCTGTTCAGTATTTAATGAGATGTTTGCCAACATACTGACAGAGCTTATTCTAATAGTTGATGGCAAAACTTTAACACACTTCTTGTGTGATCAGTCATAAGTAACAAAGTTCATGCTCAATCATCCAGGTACCTGGATGATTGAGCATGTACTTTGTTGCCTTGAATCACTTTGGCTGTGGCTGCGTGCCTGGGAGGAGTCAACGGGGGACAGGATGGCCCCCAGAAACCATCTTAGCTCCAGCAAACTGGTTGGTCCACTTAAGAAGTTTATTGCTTGGTGGGGAAACAGTTTACTGGAACTCCTCAGACTGATGAAGCTCTCCAGATAGAGGGCGAAAAGTCTCTCTCTATATATATATAAAAAAAAAAGAAACTGTCCAGATGACCTGACTGAGAATTATTGGATCGGTTATTAGTGTGACTGTGAGTTAGAAACATTTACAGAGACAGACAAAAAGTTCACAGAGAAGTCATCCCATTACCACAATGTTTCCTAAAGGTGGGCGCAGGATCCCATGTGGGTCATGAAACTTCAAGTGCGGGTCCTTCACAGGATCAGACTAAAAATGATTACCGTATTTTACAGCATATAAGTTGCTCCTGAGTATAAGTCGCATCAGTCATAAAAAGCATCGTGAAGAGGAAAAAACATGTAAGTCGCTTTGGCGTATAAGTCACATTTATTATGTCATTGCTGACCCGCCACATTTATTTAATGGTCAAAACAGCTTCTGGGCGGTGTAGTGAACCTGGTCTGACCCTTATCTGACCCTGATGACCTCAAATCTACCAGATGGACAGAGACTGTTATTTTCATTGATCTGAATAAGTCTGAGCCATCTGATGACTTTCTTTCTTGAATTAATCAAGCAGAAAAGACAATTCTTTATAATCATTACTGTCTTACAAATGTTTGATAATCAAATTGTGTTAGTTTCACTCAATGCTTACAGGTTGAAAAGAACTACTCATTTTTATTTTACATAAACAGTAAGTAATGATTTTTATTCCTCATTCAAAGAAGAAATCACCTGAATATGCATTTCTTGATTTTCTGTCTGAAATGAGCCAAGTCGTAAGTATGTGAAAGTTGAAGCTTCGGTCAACTAAATGTTTACTGAAAAAGGGATGTCATGTTTTACTATTTGGAAAGATACAACAGAGTGAGGCTCCAAAAAGTCTGGTATTCTGCAATAATCTTTTCTGTATGTTGAAAACAAATTCATTCCCTGACCTCGACTTTTGATAATACCTTACGTCAAACACCACACCTCTTTCTGGTACATCCACGAATCAGAAAGCTCTAAATTGAACCGGAAGTCGACCCATTTAAAATGTGGCAACTCCCCAGTTCAAGTGAGTTCTGAAGCAGTTCTCAAGGAGTTCTCAAGGAGTTCTGAGGAGAATTGGTTAGAATTCATGAAGAATGGTGAAGTGAATGGAAGAGAATTCGAGAATTCAGGAGAGTCAGAGACGTTTGGAATTATAACTTCTGTTTGAACACCACGCACGACTATCTAAGGATTTCAGCAGCTCTCGACGGAGACGCTGAAAGGTCTGGAGGACTCTCTATCGAGCTGATCTATCATCAACAAGGTAACGGTTTCTTCTTCGACCAAGTGTACCGTGGACCAGCTGAGATCTGACGGAGCGTGCAATTTCTGGTCAAACAGATTAAATTCCCTCACATATTTCTCTGTAAGATAAATCTCCACTTCATCTTAAACTCTTCTCTCTCTCACAAAACCAGTACAGATATTTTAGAAATATCTGAAGCAAAGTCCTCAAATCACCGCCGAGTGATTTGAAGTTCATTATTTGTGAAACTGTCTGTTATTATTTTCATATTTTGCCAAATTAATGTAAATGTTTGATGTTAAACTTTGATTCTGAAAATAAATGACTCCATTCATTTTGATGGGTCAAAGATAATAACGTCTCTCGTTCGCATTTCTGTTAAATTCAATGCACGGCATTACACAGTCAGAAAGATGAGGAACTCGTGAAATTGTATGCATATATATTTCATATATTTGTCATACAACTAGTGACACGTACCCACGTGACTCACTACAAACTGGTGGCCCGTTAACGTGCTCATAAATGACTGTAAAAACGTGTAAGATTGATTTTTAAATGTTGGCATGTTGAAAAAATAACAGTTTATCAGCTGTGAATGTTTACGCAGCGGCTGGGCTGCGCGCTTGGAGCTCGGCTCTGCAACTTTACGCTGTGTTACGCTGGCAATGTTTTAAGAGCTGAAATTGTGTCATTAAGTCTTATGTAAGCTGAAATTGTACGTCTGTTACGTGTAACTAAGCTGGCTTTGAGCTGTGGAAACGCTTTATTCTGTTTAAACTGTGTTCCAGACGCTGTTCTGGTCCGGTTCGGTTCTTTGGACCGGCTCGGTTCTGAAACGGGTTCGAACGAGTTGTTTTAAATAGCTAGAAAGACGTTTGTCACGGAGCGCCGTCTCCGTGCGGCTCAGGGGGTTATTCGTTACAAATCTTAACAGAAAAAGTGCATTTTGACAGTTTAAGAGACAAAAAGTTGACGAACTATTTCACGCTAATCTAACTTGCTAGTTGGAGAGAACGCTTCGTGATTGGTTGAAATTCGCTGTTGTGGAGCGCTCTGATTGGTTGAGAAGGCTGACTGGCGTGGCTACGTCACTTCCTCTCACCCTGCGCTGCTTTGCCATTGGTGATTTCAGTCACGTGACCCGGAAATGAAAATTCGTTTTCATAGGGAAATAAAATCTGCTTTTTAAAGCTGAAAAGCGCCTTTAAAAGTGATCTGATACGCTGGTTAAAAGCTTCGAAGCATATTCGCTGAAATTTTGCCACGTTAGAGCTTAAAATTCGTCATAAAATGATGTTTTTAAACAACACTAGCGATGCTAATTTTAAGCTAAACAGCTAACGACCGGAGTTTTAACTACGCTTAAAATCACTAAATGAAGCTGCAATATTGTTCCAAAAACTCATGTTCAGGCTAAGAAGTCGTGTTTGTTGAAATTTTGCCACGTTTGTGTAAAAAATCCGTTCAGAAATGTTGATTTTAACCGAGTTTAGCCGAAGCTAACTTCAAGCTAAGCGGCTAACAACAGGATGTCAACCGAACGCCACAGGAAGTTATAGCTCCCCTAGTGGATAACACAAACAGTGTCTGAGTTAAGATTAGTAAGGTAAGGCTGACATCTTCTGGACAACCTTGAGAAGACAGGTTTCACTCGCTTTTTAGGTCTAAACAGTGAAATTAAACGTTTTAATCTTTCTAAAAGGCATTTTCGAGTTAATAAACGTTCCTTAAAGCTGAAAATTACTGTTATCTTGCATTTTAAAAGTTATAAGGTATTTATGCAAACGAGCATTCACCAAAAAAGTTTTATTTCACTGGTAATCCCTTAAAACTAAGGTACAAAAAAATAAACATTAACTTTTTAAAAATAGAAACAGTTACAGATTTTCACAAAGTTGGAAAAAGTTTACTCATTTGCTAACAGGATAGTGCACGTTTAATTGATAAATCACTAAATAAAAGTAAATACATCAGACAAAGAGACTTTGCTGATTTTATTTATTTTGAAAAACCTAAAACATTAAAATTCTCCTGTTTAATCTTTAAATAGAAGAAAAATGACAAGCGAAGAAGATGAAGACAACTTTTCAAAACCAACAAATGATGATATCATTTTGGGGGCCTTACATATTTTGACAAATCCACTCATTGGCAAAGAAATAGAGCAATTACAACAACTTGATG